TGGCAGTTAAATTCGACCAAAGAACGTTCCATAGAAACGTTTTTACTGACCCAAAACACTCTGGGAAGCAAAACGCTCACGATGAAACAATCATGTAGAATCAAAAGTGAATACATTTTGAACGCCATCTCGCGCATTTCCAAAATTGTTTCGAGAGATAAAGCGATGGTATCAGAGAGTTTCCAAAGATTTGTTTCGATCACAAAGACATTGGAAGGGAACAGCGAAACAAACAAAACTCATCGATTACCAAATGTTCCAGCAAAGTTTCTTTATAGGCCGAAAGCTCCCTTGATTGATCCTTTCGTGACATTCAGTTTTTCTCAATATTCTTCTTACCACTAGGTGGCGAAACACATTGGCAGTTAAATTCGACCAAAGAACATTCCATAGGAACGTTTTTACTGGCCCAAAACACTCTGGGAAGCAAAACGCTTACGATGAAACAATCATGAACAGTCAGAAATAACACATTCCATCGCGCATTTCCAAAATTATTTCGAGAGATAAAGCGATGATATCACAGAGTTTCCAAAGATTTGTTTCGATCACAGAGACATTACATCGGAGGAGGACACAGAAGTGATTTCACCGCAAACTTTATTGTCAGATCTCGTATATCTCCGGGTCGTGCATTAACTTGTTCCTACCAAACAAGTACGGATAGGCAACGATTTATTGCAACGGCTGACCCGGTACATTGCAAGCCACCTATATCTCCTCCACCTAGCCAGCTTGGACAACTCGATAAATTCGAAGAGCAGTGGTATAAGGCTCGCGTTAACAGAGAGCCTGATGTTGGACGACCACCGCGTTAATTGGACGATCTTTGAATTGGATGATCCATTTTTTTAATCAATCGTTCCGATTCAAAGTCTACGTTCCAAAGTCAGAAGATCGATGGTTGGCTTGTAATCGGTCAATCACAATCCTGATTCAAAAGGAGATCTGACAGGTTGACTCAGATTACGTTGGATGTGGTATTCTTGGAGCGTATGCATAGCTATTGAAATAACTTGTTTTCGAAATGGAGATACAGAGTGTGGAACAGTGACTTTGTTTATTATTAATCAGCTTAGCGATGTGAGGAAAATAAAGAGAGAAAGAGTGTGTGTGTATGTACAAGGATAAATGGTTCTGAACAAATGAAAGTGAGATGAGAGAGAAACCAGTATTTAAATTATTAATAACTGTTTAAATTTTCTACGTTTGTTAGAATATTAATTTTACTCTCAAACATATGTAAAACTCTGTAAATTAAATAAATAAAATTCATTATTCACCATGTTAAATGAAGAGTTCAAATAATGTTCCACGAAATCGAATACAAATTATACAGAAAACAGATAAGAAGCATGAAAAAGTTTTTTTAAATTCGATGAACGTTTCTTTAAAAATTGTTAAAAATATTTGAAATACAGTTTCACGTATTTTGTGAGTATGAATCTATATCTGAAGAATATGATTGAGAAGAATGGGAAGAATAGAAAACGTGTATAAATCTCAAAGAAGCAAAAACTTTGAACTTTCAAACTTTTCCTCGAGTTGATAAATTCAAACTGACTGATTCCACGAATTCTCCAACTTCAAAATCACGAGATATTTGTCGAATTGCAACATCAAAAGTGAAAATCAAAAACGTTGTGATTCTTCTATACTATGTTTCATAAATAGATGCATCAAATTTTAATTTACTCTATCTAAGAGTAAAGATAATTCATGTTAATTCAGACTTACATTTATATATAACGTATTCTTTTTCAAATATGTGGAAAACATAAAAATTTAGTTATTTATTTCTGAAACACTCCATACATTTGACATTAAAGAAGAACGAATAAAATTCTTTCAAACATTCTTCACTATATCCTTGGAAGCCTGCTTCAAAAGTTTTAAATTTTATCCTCACGACACTTGAAATATCGTTAGATAATATTATTTAAAGAGATCATCGATAATACGAACCACTAATGGTTATTTAATGATCACTATGCAAATACAGAGCCACGTCTATTCACTCACACATAAACAAACTAACACATGCTCGAACACCTTATCTCTCTCAAAATATCTCAAATTATTTATTTTGACCCTCATACCAACTTCTCCAACTTCATCATGTCCCTTCCATTAACTGTACACACATATCTACGATCAGGATGTCACCGTCTGACACTTTAATACACGACCAGGCCATATCAGTTTCACTAACTCTACCTCTCCTTCTCCTCTCTCTCTTTCATTTTTCCTTTCCTTTTTTCGATTTACGACCATCAAAGAAGAAGTTGCATCGTCGTTCTAATTCCCAGTTACATGAGTCAACCTAGAGTTCACCAGAGTCACTAGATTTCCAATAGGCCATCTAAGCTAAGGATAATTGTGTTTAAACAGTGGACAACGTTTAAACGCGATTTGTATTTTACTTGGTGTTGGTTGAGTGGCAACAACTTGGCCGGGAGAAAGCCTGACAAATGCAGATTTCATAACGTGACGTGCTTTGCGTGGCTCGGTTCCACCGCTTGTGTTGCAGGTCTTCGAGGCACGGAAAAATCCATGAAACAGCGTCAAACAGCCGATCGAGTCGGGTTTGAAATCTCGGTGCCCCGAGTTGCAAACTAGAGAAGGCGATCTGGACGAATGGATATGAAAATTATATTTTTATCTTCTTACTTTATCAATCTTTTTGGCGAAAACAGCTTTCAAATTGATAAAAGCAACAATTATATTTTGAACTCATAGATTAATTGAAAGTCATCCTCGTCTGAAAATTATTTTATTTAAGTCGAATTGATAAATATTTCTTTGTCAAATTAAAAGTTAAAAACTTTTAAATTGGTTGATTGAATTTCTATGGGAAAATGTTTCTATACAGGAATGAATTTTCTGTATAGTTGTCTTTTGACTATCAACAGGTTGTTTGGACGAGGATTGAACTCGTTGGATTAACTATCAGACTCTCGAGATTTTGGATTATGCAAAAACAAGAAAGTTTTCTTTTGCAAGATTGATGTTGATTTTTAGTTGGATAGAAATATTATCGTAATGCGTGAACGAAAATGTACTCTTTCAAAAAGAGAAATGAATGTACGAAACTGGTTCACTATTTACGTTGAATATAATTTTTTTAAACAAAATTTATTCTTCATAATTTTTCATAAATTATTATGAAAGCTTGTTTTAAAAAACTTTTTTTCAACTTTTACATATTCTAAAAATACTGTGCTGATTTTTATTTGAAATACACACGATGAATGTGTTAAATGATGCAAGAATTGAAGAAACGATAAAAGCACAATCTTTTTCTACTGTAATCCGTGAAAATCTTCGAATAGCCGAGAATCTTTTGTTGAGAAAAGTAGAAGAAAGCAGAAGAAAATCTATATCTGAATGTGATATCGTCTATAAAAATATTTTAAATATGAAATGTGAAGTAGAATTCTTTATTTAACATTTAATAATTTTTAAAAATGTCTTATTACTTATCTTTTGTGATACAAAACGTATGAAAACGATTGCAAACGAATAAAAATCTACAATCTCGTAAAATACATTCCCTTTTTTAACTTCGTGAAAACTATACTGAAATTGAATAAATGATTATTCTTATTCCCTATTCTTTAATATTAAAAGAATTGTAATTGCACATCTTTTAAAAAATAGATATAAATATGAAACGTATTACATAAAAGTAATTAAATATATATCACCATAAATACACTCTTAACGAAGAAGAGACTCAAATTACTTATTTTATTATTATAATTAATTATTTTATTATTATTAATTTATTAATTAATTATTATTATAAAAAGAAATTGTTCAACGAGTGATTGAACAACCGAAGAAGAATGGTCTATCAATTGAAAACTGTTTCACCTCTTTAAAATTGATCCATTCTACGATTCGATTTCATCCAGAATCGTCTAGAACTCCATCTACTTCATCTTTTCACCTTCAACAGGTGTTGCTTCAAAGAAGATAGACTTTTAGTAGAATAAACGAAGTGAAATTCTCGCTACTTCGAATTACATAAGAAAATCGATTTTAGACGTTTCATTGCAATTAGGACACCGAAATCTTCTCTCTCGTAAGAAAAAATACTTTACCTATATCCCCTTTTCTGTTTATTAACAGACCGATTGATCTATTCGATCAACAGAATTTTCCTGATCCTTCCTTTATCCAACATAGTATCCCTCCCTCATCCTCTATTCAGATCGTAGTCGATGATCCTCAGATCGATTATCCAATCGAAAGAATAAACTTTTCTTTTCCTAGGCTGAGGAACAAGTAGAACCTTTTCTCTAGACCTCTGAGTCTACATCATTGCTCAGATGCTCATTGTTTGAGAAAGTGTTGTGTCATCTTAGAAAACATAGACACTGGATAGGCTCTAGAACCGGCACCTCTTCATGATGAGAATCCGTGAATGATATCTATTTAATTGCACAAATCACTGATGCACATTGAAGCGGTCTGTCGCCACGTGAAGCGCCTGGTCTCTCGACATCAAAAGTCTTCATCGAGTTCCCTTTCGCTTGAAACCGTCATAGCATCAGCACTGACTCATCGCGACCACTGTCCAGGTCTTAACGTAACCACTAAATCCCTCGGTTTAGATCTCAACACTGCTCTAGCGTCTGATGCCACTTTAGACAAAAGTGTTGTCATCGTGAAGCGCACAAGGAAAGGGAAATGCTCGCGTAATCTGCGTGTTTCCGCAGAGATCTCGTTATCCCTTTGGCGGACACGTGTCTGACCGAGCGGAAAACGCTCGGATAAATCTTCGATCGCGATTAAAAAGGAACGAGCTTTTTGATCGAAAAATTATATTTTGATGCAGTCAAAGTGAATTGAAATATCGATGGGAAAAAAGGAATGGTAATAATAACGCTAGTTCGTAAGCCGGCTCGGATCGTAAAGGGGTTGAGAAACCGTTCTCGTGCGTATAAAGTCGTGAATCAGCGATCGAAGATCAGGAGGGGGCACACGCGACTGTTTGAAACGGGAGCGATTGTAAGTCCGCACTGCTCGGCCGCAATCACGCGCGACTGTCGACAAAGCTGTCGCGGTCACAACAAAACCTACGGAATAGGGGAACCACGAGGGGTGGCGGCGTCGCGGCGCGATGCGTCGAGACGACCTCGTGCAGCCGAACGAAGAAACTTGTCGATGGGGGTGGAGAAGAAAGTTCGAGATGAGAAAGTTCAAAAGGATGGTGAAATTGGAGAAAAGGGAATCAAATTATTTTTTTCTAAAATAAAAGATTAAATAGAGAGAAAGTGTTATAGAAATTATTGGTTAATTGTTTTTCTTGTTTCTTATCAGCATTTATTATTTTTTTTCCTGGCAAAAAATGTGATTTTGAATATTATTTGTGAATTATATGGAACAATATATATTTTTGCGATTGATTCGTTCATGTGTAGGAAAATATTTTAATGAAAGATTTATACATGTTTAAAATATATACGGTGTTTAATGTTCTTTATTACCGATAGCAGAAACTTCAGTTTCTCTTTATCGCAATTGACGGTAAAGTAGGTATTTCAGATTTCTTATGTCTCGTCGTCGGTAAATAAGTTTCCTTCTTTTAAAATTATCCATCGATAATAGAAAAAAACTTTGTGGTACAAAAAACAGAAAACTGTCTTATTTTTTAATTTAAAAAAAAAATCCTTATATTTTCATTTAGTACGTTTATAAATTCTATCTTTTTGCATATAACGATACACATAATTCTAATAAAGACAATAATAAAGACCACATAATTCTCGACTCTTGCAATTGCACTTGGAGTAATCAAACTCAATCCATCAAACGTGAAAGAAAATACTTTCTCATAAATGTACTTTCAAAG